ACAGATGGTCTTCCAATGTCAGCCGTGGATCCAGGAGGACTCCCAAGTTGCGGGCCTTCTCTGAGGGGGCCAAAATTTCGCCCCCTATAGTCAGCGATGGGGTCAGCTGACTATGCCGAGGCGCCGGCAGCCACAGCCACTCGGTCTTGGAAGGGTTGAGCCTGAGTCTGTTCCTCCCCATCCAGACCCGTACGGCCTCTGAGGGTGCTGCATTTTGAACTGCATTTTGATTCAAAATCAAAGATTGGATTAACCCTGGATGGGCTTTTATGTAAGTATCTAGGGCAGGGGTAGGCAGCCTTGGCTCTTTTACGACTCGTAGACTTCAACTCCCAGAATTCCTGAGCCAGCCATGCTGAGGGGAAAGGGAGAGGTTTCCAAGCTGAGCCATGCTGGCTCAGGAATTCTGGGAGTTGAAGTCCACGAGTCATAAAAGAGCCAAGGTTGCCTACCCCTCATCTATGGTAACATGACCATATATTTAGAATATTTTTAGAAATATAGAGTCCTAAATGCTTAATGTACAAATGACAAAACTCAATTCTTCATAGCTTTTAAAAGCTAATGGAGTAGCTTTATCCTCCCTCGAGATCTACTAATGCTGATCCCAGTTGTGTTTCTGAAGGAGCTGCCGTATTTTGGCCTCCCTTGGCAACAAATGTTCGGAAAGGTTTTGTTCCCCGCATATCCACCACCGCTCTTGTTTGGAATTTATCCATGCGGTTAGTTCTGATCTTGGCCCCGCTTGCACCGAGCCTCTGCTGTCTTGGTGAACAGCTTTCTAGTGTCAAGAACATTGGCATCCCAAGAAACGAGCTTTGTGTGCTGATGGACCCTTCTCAGGCAGGGCAATGTTTCTGCTGGGCTTCTTCCTCCTCGCTTGAGAGTTTCCATATTCACCTGAAATTTCTGCACATGTTCCTTGGACAGCGCGATTAGCAGGTTCTCCGCATTCTCCGAATGTTCGTAGAGCGCTTGCTTTTTTTTTATGGTCCATCAAGGTGTCCCCTTCAGGTAGGACCCATACGTGGGGCTATTTGTCAAGCGTCATGGAAATCAGGAGATCTGGGCCAGTTCAAATGGTTATAAAGATTTATTGCGAGCTGAAGCGCTCTCCACAAGAATCTGAATTACTAACCGTCAAGGGAAATTAGCGGGAGATAAGGAATTCAAGGTGGGCTGGACTGAAGTCTCTTGTGGGCATGAAGGGACTCGTGATTAATGACACGTTTGACCCTTCCCTCGGGCTCAGCCTCGGTCGTGTCCTATATCCTTATTCCTTAGCTCAGGGGTGTCAAACTCAATTTCACTGAGGGCCGCAGGTGGGGGGGCAGGTGGGTGTGGCCAGAATGGGTGCAGCCTACTGGGTGGGTGTGGATGGAGTGGGTGTGGCTACTGGGTGGGCGTGGCCAGTTCTACATCATTCGCGTCAAGGGTGCCTATGGGGGCCTGGGCAGGAGTGGGACAGATCTGAGGGTCTCTGGCAGAAGGGGGTGGGATTGGGGCAAGTGCCAAGATGGCCATCACAAAATTGTACATTGGCTCCCTCCGGCCGGCCAGGGCCAAGGCAGCGGGGGCCGTTCCCCTCACTGTTTCCAGGATGGCTTCGCGGGCCACATGAAACTACTTCGCGGGCTGCATCCGGCCCCTGGGCCTTGTGTTTGACATGTCCGCCTTAGGTGGTTTTGTGACGTGGATTTCTAGTTCCTAACTGGTGACCTCTTCCGTTGCCTTGTCATTGGGAGATGGATGCAGGAGGAACCATCCGTCCTCCCTGTGTGGCTTCAAGGAAGGAAAGACTCCATCGTTATCCGCTTAGGTAGCCATCCTTGGAACTGAAGAGGACTGAAAGGGCCAGGTTAAATAAGTGTGTAATTACACACCACAAGCGTGCGTCCTTCAGGTCACCATTACCAAATTTGTTTTCTCTTTTGTCTCCGAAGGCTAAAAGGTTTATTAGATCGTGAAAAAGAGGAACTCGCAGAAGCAGAAATCATTAAAGACTCTCCGGATTCCCCAGAGCCGCCCAACAAGAAGCCTCTTGTTGTAATGGAAGACTTGCCAGGGCTGGAAAAAAATAAAGGTACAAGTCCAAATAATTGCAAGGTATCAAAAAAAAAAAGGGGAAGCGATGGCTTATGGAGGGCAATATTTTTATTTATAGCAAAATATACATAGTATACATGCTGGGTGAGCAGAATGTCGGTAAGAGCTGCAGCTAAACTTCTGTTAAGCAAAACATTGCAGATCCAATTCTGCCGATCTAGATCCTGCCTCAACTTAGGGGATGGGTCTTATTCCAGAAAAGTAAGTAGAATTAAATGTTGTTTGGTGTCAGTTTATTACTACACCGTAGCGTTACAGGAAGTCCTCGACTTACCGCCACAATTGAGTCCAAAATTTATGTTGCCAAGCGAGACTTTTGCTAAGTGAATTTTGCCCCGTTTTATGACCTTTCTTGCCACAGTTGTTAAGTGAATCACTGCAATTCTTAATTTAGTAACCTGGTTGTTAAGTGAATCCGGGCCTCCCCCGTTGACTTTGCTTGTCAGAAGGTTGCAAAAGGGGATCACGTGACCCCGGGACACTGCAACCGTCATAAGTACATGCCAGTTGCCAAGCGTCCGAATTTTAATCACGTGACCGTGGGGATGCTGCAACGGTCGTAAGTGCGAAAAATGGTCATAACTCATGTTGTAAGTCAAGGACTACCTGTATAGACTAACATAGATGCTTCTGATTTATACCTTTTTGTCGTACAGAGGCAGTTTTGGTAGTAGATATTTTATTTGTTCATTAATGCCCCGTCCTAGAAAACCTTTCTTCCATATGGGGAGGAGGCCTGGTGTGGAATAACTAAGTCCACTCTGCCTTTTTTCCCCCCATTATTACATTTTCTTAAACTCTGCAGTTGTCATTGTGTTACAGGTCAACAACCAGACTGTCCCTGTAGTTTTCACACGCTGGTGACTGTCCAAAATTGTACTGATAAGGCTTTGTTTTGGATTTTCCCTGGCGTGAAAATAAAAAAAAATAATGTGAATTCTAGATTATTGCTCTTAACACATTGGAGGGGCGATTGTGGATTTGACTACAAAAAGTAAGGCAAATAAGCATACAAACCCAGGAAAAGGACTTTTTTCTTTGGAGTGCAAGTATGAAAGTAAGATTTAAGGATGCAAATTAATGAGGGCTCTTACCTTTTCTTCATTGTTTTTTATTTTTTTAGGGCCAATATCCCTTCTGTCTCTTTGGAGCAACAGGATTAATGCTGCAAATTCTAGAAAACATCAAGAATTTATTGGCCGCTTAAATTCTGTCAACAATAAGGCTGAACTGTATCAACATCTTAAAGAGGAGAATGGGTTTGTATCTCAACATAGCTTGCTACAGGATGCCTGGTTATTTCTGGTTAATAACTTACCTGAAAATTTTGCCCTTAAATACATTAAACTATAATCTTAATAAATAATACGAAGGTAATTGAGCTTCCCTTCTCTTTGTTCAAAATGATGGCATTAAATTATTCTGATAGTGACATCATAGGCACACTTAAGATAAGCATTATGAATAAAGAGCCACATTCTTATTTAGCCTTTGAAAAATTTCAAAGATTTAATTCGTGTAAATATTGTCTTCCAGAGGAATTTTTTATATGGACATTGGTTAATTGATAACAAAAATCTAGTGTATTAGGATACATTTTTCTTCAACTCAGCAGGAATTCCTTTTTTTTTATTAAATTTTTTTATTAATTTTTCAAATAAAATATGAACAAATAGTACAAATATGGTGCATTTCATTAGAAAAACAAACACATAAAAAGCCTATTCCGAAATAATCGGCGTTCCGAATTCTGAATTCTGAATTCTGCATTCCTCAACTTAAACGGTAATTACAGCAAATATTGTAGCTCATTGTAGCCTCTTTCCAACATTTAATATAGTTTCTCTTGTATTTGCAAGTCTTGCTGAAGATCAGCTTATTTCATTTTGCTTCAGAATCACTGAATTTTAGAAATGATAAGTTTATTTCATTAATCGCCAGCACATGACTAAAATAAGTGTTCAGTAAGTACCCATCACAATTAACATTATGGGGAGCGAAGCTGATTGTCTTGTATTATTCTGTGCCAGGGCCAGCCACCTATTATATACAGGTAGTCCTCAACTTACAACGATTCATTTAGTGACCATTCAGAGTTGCAACGGAACAGAAAAAAATGACTTATGAGCGTTTTTCACACTTACGACCGTTGCAGCATCCCCAGGGTCATGTGGTCAAAAATTGGATGCTTGGCAACTGACTCGTACTTATGACGGTTGCAGTATCCCGGGGTGACGTGATCCCCTTTTCTTCCCCAATGGGGAAGCCGGATTCACTTAACAACCATGTTACTAACTTAACAACTGCAGTGATTCACTTAACAGCTCTGGCAAGCGAAGTCGTAAAATGGGACAAAATTCACTTAACAAATGTCTCGCTTAGCAAGGTAAATTTTGGGCTCAATTGTGGTCATAAGCCGAGGACTACCTTTACTTCAGTTCAACAGGAATCTCCAAGCTGGTTCATGTATTCTTCCAACTTATATTCTACCATGCTTTCAACACATAATTTTTAGGACTTTAGGACTCTTTAGTTTTAAAGGAGAAAATAGAAATATGACTGTCAGCCTCGTTTTACGAATTTTAGGTAAATGACAAAGGAATTCATTAACTTTGTACTGTTGATTTGTTTTAGAATGGAAACCACAGAAAATGGAAAACCGAGCCGGCAGTGAATTCTGGGATATAGAGCCGTTTTTGTTCAAGCCTGATCTCTTATCTAACTGTACAGTTCTCTACTTTGATTGCTTTTTAC